AAGTGGGAGAACTTGCACAATTGGTGGCTGACTAAATACTTTTTTGCCCCACTGTAGATTTTTGGGGGAGTGCAACTCTACTCAATTTCTTCATCCAGATGGATAGATACCCAAGGCATTCCTGTCTTGTCTAATTACATGACCTCCCAATATAAGGAAGAACAGCTGAAGATTAATGGAGCTTTTAAAAATCCCATGCATTTTATTCTAATGCAATTACTATGAGAACAAATGCCAACTTACTTAATGTAGTAGGGAACTCTGTTGTGAGATACTGATCTTTGCCATGGTAGTTGTACAGATGCTATAGAAATAAAAAAAATAGGAGGTAAATAAATCAAGAAATAGATCATTTAGTGTTTACAAATAGACATACTTGCCTATGATGCTGAATGTAGGAAATGAAAAGAAATATTCCAATCTCTGGGAATAACCTCTCCTGGACAGTTTTTTAAAAAGCATTTATCCTCAGAATCAACACCACTCATTTAAATGATGAACAGCTTAAAACAACTGTTGATGAAGATACACTTATCTGGAAAAGAGCTTGGCTCCAACGCAGTCCACTTAATGAACAGGCACAGAATACCAAGTGATTGTCTATTCTTTGGTTTGGGGCTTTTGTTTTGCTTTTGGATTCTTTGTTTGCAAAGTTGTAAGTGGGTGCATATATTGATTCAATTTCTAGAATTTTTTCACTTAGTTTTTATTTCTTGAATCCCCCCAATTTCCATAGTTGTTTGAGTTACTTGAGGACAGAACCATTAACATTCTGTAAAACTGCTGAAAGTCACCCTGAATATACAGAATAGTAAGATGAACACTGCAGGTAACAGCACCATAACACCTTCCTCTTTCCTTGTGAGTTTTAATCAAGATTTACCATTGTGTCCAAAGTCATACATTACCTCTAGATCATCTTTGTTTCTGTCTAGGACTTGCAAACCTGCTCCCAACATTGGCTAAGCAGGATTTAATTGTAATTCTAAATTGTTGTTCTCTGGGAATTGTTTTCTCTTTCAGACTCTGAAAATTTGTCTGAAAGGATCTTCCGTACATGACAATAACTCTATTCTATATTTTCCTCTACACCAGTTATTAAAAAAAAAAAAAGGTTCTAGCTGCAAATCTAGAAACACTTGGCACTAAGAGATCATAGAGATACATCCATCACAAATCTTAGCCATAGTTTTTTCCCTTGTTTATTAAGGAATGAAGAACATTCATTAGTAGATTCTTTTAAAAGGATCTAATTATTGCAGGAAAACTATCTGGGAATAGCATCTGATTCAGAGACTACTTCCTATGCCTGATATAAGCAGCAGTCTTGGGATGAAAAGAAAGTTAAGAACCTTTGAAGTACTTCATTTATCTACTATTAGAATCCTCATTAACCCATTTCATTAGCACTTACTGGAAAGAAAATCTTGAGATGCAGGTCCATAATCACAGTGTGTTTCTTGTAGTAGTTTAATGCGATCATCTACCGATATCTGCATATAAAAATACAAACAAGGAAAAGCAGTAATAAGCTTTCAACTGATCATACAAAGCCAACTTCATACAGCCAACAAGGCAAACAGTGGTTTACAATTCATTTTAGCAAACAGGTTTTAAAGGGAACAAAGATACTCTCTCCCCTTAAATCTGCTTCCGTTTTTTTTTTTAATAAAATTTTTTATTCTTTACAACAAACACAAAACATACATAAACAAA